CAGGCGGGGAGGTCTCCCGCGGGCGGGGGCTTGATTGGCGGCTCCGCCCGCCGGCGATAAGAAGGGGCAGCGCCCGGCCGCCCCCGCCCCGGCCCCGCCCTCCGTGCCTCGGTTTCCCCGGAGGAGGAGAAAAGACGGAAGGCGAAAGCTCGACCGTCAAGATAAATAATATCCTAATGCAACGTTTTTAAATATCAAAATTAATGGGAAAAAATAAATCCACGATGAATAAAACACCAAAGTTTTTAAACAAAGACAGGACCCGCCAGGACTGGGGTTACGGTGAGGCGAGTCATGCAAGTGCAGAGTCGGAACTTGTCTTTTACATTTTTAAAAATATATTTTTTGGTCATCACATGTTTTTCCATTAATTTTGATTTTTAAAAATATTAATTATCTTGATGACCAAGCTTTTAGCATCCCCTTAAAGTTTGCGCCCTACTCCCCACCAGACACAGAGGAGGAAGGAAAAAGAAAGCCAAGTCTCAGAGCCCGAGGTTCTGATTCCAGTTCTGCTGTGTGACAATGAAAAAGTGGCTCCACCTCTCTGAGCTTCGGTTTCTTACTTCAAACAACGTTACACTTCCTCTGTGGAAGGCCCAGGCTGTAAAAGTGAAGAAAGCAGACAAGTCCCTAGACTTTGCATTTTTCTAGGAGAGACACAATAAGCAGTGAAATTAATGTGTAAAATGGGCTTGTAGAAGCCATAAAAGCCACATGAGAGGATATGCGGCAGGAGTGAGAGGGCACTGTAGCCTGCTGCCTGAGGAGGGGACCTGCGAACTGAGCCTGAGCTGCGAGAAGAAGCAACCCCACAAACCCAAGGTGGGGGAACTGCAGAGGCAAAGGCCTGGGGCGGGGACAAGCATCTGGCTGGAGTAGAACGAGCTAAGAGGAAAGCACCAGAAGGTGAGGTCAGAGAGGTAAAGATAGCCAGATGATTCTGCAGAAATACTCCCAACAACCCAGCAAAGTAGAATATTACCCCACTTGACAGGTGAACAAACAGAGGCTCAGAGAGGGACGTAATTCCCCCAGGATCACACAGCTGGAGGCAGCAGAGCCCAGACAGCCTGTCTCCTTTGCTGGAAATTTCCGGTTTTCTTTGCTGCCCCTGGGTGTGACCCTCGATGGAAGACGAGAAGCAGGAGCAGCCCCTCTGCCTTGAAATGCCAGCTGAGCCCCAGTCCCCCTCAGAATTAACGAGATGTCCAGGCAGGAAGTGCCTGGGCTAGATCCCAGCGGGCACAGCCCGTTGCTGAGCCCCTGCAGCTGCCACTGTGAGACCGGTGGGGTCCCAGGGCCACATCAAGGGGCAGGGGTGGCTGGAAACCCTGTTTCCTCCTCCCACCGGTTTCTCCACCATCTTGAAGTCCCTGGACCCCAAGATGGGCACAACCAAGCCTGGAAATCATTTGATGGGGCTAGAAATGTTCTATATTTTTCTCTGGTGGTGGTTGCACGGGTATATAGATGTAAAAATTCTCTGAGCTTTCCATTCACGATCTGTGCACTTTATGTATGGAATGCCTCAATTTGAAAGTTAAAAATACACACACATACATTTATTACACCATTGGAAGCAGCTCTCAACCAACTCCTTCCTGGAAACATTGGTCATGAAAAGTAGGGAATTAAGCATGGTCTTGCCTTCCCAGAGTAGCTGTGGTTCGCAGTCACCAAACAGCCTAAGAAGAATGCCAGCTAAAACGTGGAAGAAATGTGAGAATTAGAAAAATTTCCATTTTGCAAAAGTCAGTGAAATAATTCAGGCAGCGATCATCATGGGTGTTATAAAACATCAGTTGAGAGGATGACGGGAAACAAGATATGCTCAGGGCACCAGAGGGCTCGCAGGGTGTGGGGGAGTGGACATCGCCACAAAGGACAGACTGTCACCAGCGTTAGCTGTGAAGCTGACACAGTAGTGGGACCTGCGAGCCTCGTGGGCCTCCTGATGGGATTCGAAAGGAAGTTCACAGCTTCCCCTAGGACATGTCTTGCCAAAACGTTAAACCTCACTCTGATCAAGTCTCTCAACCTAATCTCCAGTTTGCAGGAAATGGAAGGGGTAGAGAAACAGTTAAATGACAAGATCAGGAAGCAACAGACAAAGCCAGAGGGTGGGCTGTACTGCAGGACGGCTGTCCTGGAGCTTCCACAAGTCACTCGTGAGAAAAAGGAGTGGGGGCTCCTCCAGGGCAGACGGCACCATCGACATCGAGAGCCAAATGGTTCTTTGTTGTGGGGGCTGGCCTGTCCATTGTAGGACATTGAGCAGCATCCCTGGCCACCACCCACTCGATGCCAGTAGCACCCGCTTCCCCAGGTCTGACAACCAAAGATGTCTCCAGACACAGCCAAATGGCCTTGGAGATACTGGTCTAGAGGATGGTGGAACAGCTGACAGAGGGCCCCTGGGGTCCCCAGGCTGTCCACCAGCAGAGACAAATAAACAGTCTCTTGTTTAAGCTGGTATTGGGTCCCTGTTAAATTGGGAGAACTATGACCTGGTAGTTCTGTTCCAAGCTTGTATATTCATTGAAAGTTTTGCACCAGATAAGGGTGTTCATTGAGGCGGGAAGTTGGAGGCAGTGTAGGTGTCTGTCTCTAGGGGACTAGAGGGAAGAAATAAGAAGGCTGGTGATACAGATGACTAAGCCGGCAGTGAAAGCAACAAAGTAGATGCTTGAAAATGCAGCGCTGATGGAGTGAGACCCAGACGCTGTCACATTTTAAAATAAGGCAACCTCGCTCCTGACCCAAGTAGCGAGAGCAAGAGGTCTCCACAGAGTTGCGCTAAAAGGGGAAAAAGAGAGAGACTTTTAAAACCACCCACTAATGTGCCAGCGAGTAATGAAATAAGAATTTGGCACTTGGTGCATTGAAATGCAAACAAGATATCCTTCTGTTACGCTGGCAATTCACCATAAAAGCTGATGCATTTCTGCTTATTATACGTGAGGTGTATTGAATGGTTAGCAGGCTGGTTCTTCTAACAAGTTTTTTTAACTATGTACACAATAAGGTCAAAGAAAAAAATATTTGATATATGAACACTGTGCAGATAGATCCATGGATAAAATGGAATATAGTATCGGGACAGCCACTCACACAGGTTTGGGAAATATTTTGCAAGCAGAGTTTTGATGAGTTAAGATGATCTTGGAAACCCATTGCTGGGGGTACTGCATCCTCACGCCAAAAGGAAGAACTGGAAAAGAAAGGAATGAGTTGAGATTTAAAAATAAAAACAACAGGGGCTGGCCTGTGGCGTAGTGGTTAAGCGCACGCGCTCCGCTGCTGGCGGTCTGGGTTCAGATCCTGGGCGCACACCAAGGCACCACTTGTCAGGCCATGCTGTGGTGGCGTCCCATATAAAGTGGAAGAAGATAGGCACGGATGTTAGCTCAGGGCCAGTCTTCCTCAGCAAAAAGAGGAGGATTGGCATCGGGTGTTAGCTCAGTGCCGATCTTCCTCACAAAAAATAAAAATAAAAACAACAAAAACTCAGCTAAGACACGATACCCTGAATAATTGGGTGTTTAGAAGAAATGATTGGGGCACAAGGATATCTACATGCACATGTGCCAACTTATCCGCCCCCTCACAGTGGAAAGAAAACTTTTTGTTGGGAAGAGGATGAAGGAAATAAGCTAATAAATGCTTTGACTCTCTTAAAAAAACAATGTATCACTGGGCTAAAAAGGATACAGATGGAGATCTAGTAACAGTATCCTTGTGTGAATTACAACATACTCCTGCAAACATGCAAAGTAAACATATAAAAATGCAAAATGATACATTCTATTGTTCAAGAATATCTACCTGTTCAGGAACACATAGCAAATGCCTTAGAGATGCTGGCAGTGGTTCAGGAAGGCAAGGAATTGGGGATCTGGGATGGAGGGGGTGGAAATTAAACCAGCGAGGGCTTCGCACGGGCAGAGTTTGGGGAGAAGTGGGGTTGGGAGAGACCTGGGTTCCCTGGCATTTAGGGGCAGAGATCAGATTGCAAAAGGCTGAGGACCAAGTGGGAGGTGCAGAGTGGAGCCAGCCAGTACAGGTGAGATATGCCTGGTCAGGAAGGCAGATTCTACCTCCACGCTGTCCCGTATGGTAGTTGCTAGTCCCATGTGGCTATTTTTTGAGGGCAAGGGATGCCTTTTATTTCTTTTTCTTGCCTAATTGCTCTGGGTAGGACTTCCAGTGCTATGTTGAATAAAAGTAGCGAGAGTGGGCACCCTTGTCTTGTTCCTGATCTTAAAGGAAAAG